CCCTGCATTAAAAGCAGGAGAGGATACGAAACAAACCCAGCAAGGCCCAGAGCTGCAGGCAGTCCGCGTTTAGTGAGGGGAGATGGGTCCTTGGTCATCTCTTTGAAGAGGTATGTAAGATCTAAATTGAAATTCTGCAGCTCCTGCTCAGTGTTAATATTTATCATTAAGAATAACAAATGGTGCTTAAACTGCACTTTGGAGTTTCAAAGCATTTTATAAACAGTAATTAATATCTCAACACATCATCTTTCTCTGGTGCTCATCTGGCAATGCATCAAAAAATTACAACCAGAATGGAAAGAGATTACTATTTTAAATTCAACCAAAGGAACTTAAGCCAGGAAGAATGAGCAAGGAAAAGAGATGGTGAAAAACAATTTGCTGCAAAACTAAGTCACAAGCAGAGTTCTTACCACCCAATGGCCAGAGCTGGGCTGTAAGAAGGGGCATAAACCAGCAGATTCACCCCTTGCAATATTTACTCCACAGCGCTTGGTGACCATCAACTCTTGAGTTTTGCACTGGGAAGTGAAGATCTGGGCCCATCAAATTGTGTTCCTGAACTGCCTGCTGTCCTCTAGAACAGCAGAGTGCAAGGCCAAATGGAGGGTCTGCAGCTGTTTATTGCTGGTGAATTCAACAACAACCAATTTATATTCATCTATCAAGGAATATGCAAGTGGAAGCAAATATTATGGTCATGTTCATTTGTTTCTGATTACAAAATGTATGTAAATGCATATGCAAATTAAGCACACCCATCAGACTCATGGCAAAGTGCCAAATTAGCCCTTAGTGTCACAAAGTTTGGGGTGTCTGGCAGGGAGAAACGGTTATTTCAAGTGAGGCCAGGCAGCCCCTTTAGATGCAGTCAAAACTGGGCTGCTCCAAAGGGGCGGGTGGAGAATAAATCCTGCAGTAACTTGTCTCTTTAAACGAAGCTGAGGGGCTATAGAAAAATCTGTTCCCTCTGCAGTTAAAAGTGTGATAATTACAGAGTAACGGGCTCCTCTGTCATTCAGCAGGCAGCATCCCCAGGAAATCTTGCTCGGTAATCAAGGGAAGAGGTGCAATCAGGCCCCTATTCAGGCTTCGTTTAGAAACAGCCCCTGCAGGCAACACAAAGGCTTCAGCATGGTGCTTTGTGAAGCTGGTGATCACATCAACGTCTTGGTTCTGAAACTACAAGCAGAGTTAATGTCATTTCTAAGCACATCTTCTGTTTCACCTTTCCTCACCAAGTCCAGACGGGGCTTAGGGAGAGAGGTGAGGTCCTGAGCCAAAATACTCTTGTACATACATCCTTGTGCTCACACTGTCCACATCACTTTCTGCACCATGATGTCAGAGGAAGAGAGAATTTCTTGCCGACTAAGGAAGACAGCGTGATCCTGAATGAGCAGATATGAACATGCTCATCGAGCTGCTACAACAGTACAGTTTTCAAAATTTGCGTGGGGATGGTTTTGTTGGGTTTTTTTTTCCCCAGTGACATGAATGTATCTGTGCTGCTCAAATTCTACTGGAACTTCATTCTCTTGGCAGCAGCCTGATCCCACAGAGACTGATGAGTTTCATTAGAGGGGAAGGTGTCTCTGACTTCAACTTTCATGTCTAATGCCACCATTGCCCAGAAACATACAAATTAATTGCTACTCAAAACAGCCATCCTTTGTACCCTACAGAGCTGTCAGATTCAATGAACAAGTTTACTCCAGCCATAATAAAAATAGTATCACATTTTACTCAAAACAGCCAAACCTTGCAAAATATGAACTCCCACTGTATACACTCAGACACAGAAATCATTCTTCTCATTGACCAGCAATGACCAGCTCAGGTCCCCATCTGGGCATGTAGTTACCACAACATATACAATCCTGGTAACTCTCTCTGGGTGCACTTTAAGCGCCAAAAATCTTCCTGCACATCGCAGGCACATTCTGGACAGGATTTACAGTTTTGTCTCACTATGGAATGGTTGTTCTCTGCTGAGGTTCACCATAACTGGAACTGCACTTTGCATTACAGTAACCCTTAATACTGTACACAGAGCTTCATTCCGTCACATTACAAGATCAGTAAACTCCACTTTCTATTTCTTTCTTATTTCTCTGGCCACAAAATAAATGAGTTTGCTGTGGGTTCACCATCTGAAGACATGGGTATCAGTCAATAGGCAAGTAATGGCCTGGATACTGTCAAGAGAACTCATTATTAAAAAGGTACATATTGCATTTAGCTGTTCAAACAGAAGTTGTTATTGATTGGATCCCATCAGTTACCAGTAAAAGAGCCAACTGCGATGACGAAATGAAAATATGCACACAGACTACAGACTAGTAAATACTGCAATGGAGTTAAGGATCCCTCCCCCAAAGGGAGTTGTTGATATCCAGTTCAAAGAGCAAGTCTTTTACAAAAGTGAGACTGGGAATAAAAGAACCATGTTATATCTGCAAATATCCAGAGGCAGGATAAGGAAACAAAACAAAAGGGACCAGTTCAGACAAAAACAAAACAAAACCAAACATCTCAGTCTCTTGGAAAATAAGCAAACAAAGAAAATACAAGTTGGTTAATTGCCAATCAAGCCACAGGCAGGGAGAGCCTGAATCCAGTTCTGCTGTTCCTATCCCGTCCTCCTGTTCATCGGTGGATGTTCTGCCACGCTCACAGAAATGAAAGACAGCATCTTTGGAGTTTGCTATATTTTTCAAAGTCAGACAAAAAGGAGCTATACGTAAACTGGTTCCTGTTTTGTTTCCTTGCCACTTTTCTTTGTTTGCTTGTTTCCACTTACTAAACAGCTTTTCTTCTGTTTTTCCCCTTCTTCTCACAACCTGCGCAGACACTGTAACATTTTTGGATGACAGCATTAAACACACAGAAATCACCACTGCTGCAGCATAATGGAGGCAGAAAACAAGGCTGATTATAAAATTCTAACATAAACCAAATGTACACCATGAAGTAATACAAGAGAAAATTGAAGAACCGGACAAGGTAATGACTGTTTGTGGCAATTTCTACATTTGTTCCATTGGAAAAGCTCTCTGCACAGCACCTTACGTGTGAGTGAACAGCTCACAGCTAACAGTGAGTTAAAAATGTTTACTAGAAAAGGTACATCGTGACAAACTTCTTTGCTCACCCTTAATAGAAGGCTGGGCTGGAAGCTGATGAATCACTATAGGAAACAAACAGCAGTGGTGACGCATGGCTTCAAAAGGTAACAATAGCACTGCTTGATCCGTGATGTCTTCAACAGAAATATCCCTGGATTCGTTAGAAGACGGATTTGATATTGTTCCACCCACCCAGGAAATGCAGAAACTCCACCACCCGAGCCCTGATTAGAGCCCTCACAATAGCCCCACAGGTACACAGGAGCCTTGATCACTTACAGTATTTTCTCAAGACGTTCACTGAAAACCATATGCTGTTGATGTCTTTTGCAGCTCCCCGTGGAGTCTAGATCCGTTAGCCCAGCAGTAGAAAGAGGTTTATATATTTATGTTTCAGGGTCCACATGCCTGTGTGGCTCTTGCAATCTTCCATCACCCAAAACTGGCATTTCGACACACGGTGTGTTTGTCCTCTAAGCGTATGAGGATCAGGCTGGGAAGCCCAGCTACTGAAGTGCTTGGTCACACCCAGGATTCTCTCCAGCTCCACGTAACTCATGGCTCAAGCACAGAAAATAGTTCTGGCTCATTACTGGATTGAACCTGCTCAGAGCAGAGCAAATAGCCAGGGAGAATTCTGGTGTTCAGCACTTCATAGGCTCACACCTCCTATCTAATAGTCATGTACTGCTACTGTAATATGTGTCTATAAAGCCAAATATTCTGTTATCATTAATAGCACCTTAAAATTAAGGGACACGTGGATATCATGTTTATTTTCCAAACCTTCATTTCCCATAAAAACATGTTTTCTTCTCCACCTATACTGTAAACATAGAAATATATTTACATATTCTTTTCTCTAGGGCTTTTTGCTTACCTATCAACCATATACAGACTTTATTTTCAGCACTTCTCACATTCTACATATGAAATTGCAGTCAACGTATTTTCATTGCCAAAAGAAGTAAATAAATGCTAGTTGTGATAAGATATTATTGCAAGCATTTCCATTTTGACAAAATTTCAGGTTTTTTTTTATCCTGAGATAAGACACTTCTTGCCAACGTTTCATCTTTGGCTTAATGTCAAAGTGTAGTGTTTAAACCTAAATGTCATTAAAAATGCTGTGATGAGATTCTCAAATTCATACTGTGATTTCTAGTCCACTTACTCAAGTCTCTTGCACTTACAGAGTTAATTATCATCACACTGCTAAAGACCAAGGAAACACATTCCATCATGTGGCTTGCATGACTTAAAACTTTTGGACTGAAATATTAAAAGAGCATGAAACAACACAGAAACCCTCAAATCCCTCTTCCCTTTACAATACTAAGATCATTCAGCAGGCCCCAAAGCAATTTAATCAAGGATGATAATCAACCGAGGTGCCATTCAGCAATTAGTATGCAAGCAATTGAAGGGGAGCTTGGGGCTTCCACGGACTAGCAACAGTTAACATCAAAGACGGCCTAACTCTTGCGAAGCCCTGTCCATCAGTTCTGTTAGCCGTACCTATATGGCTCCTGTTTACTGCTACCCAGAGAGCGGCTTTTACCAACACCAAGATAGGGTATTAACTTCTGTATTTACCAATTTATGTTCTCTACCCTTATTAATAAGCTGCTGAAGAAAATCTGCCCATGCCCCAAATGCAGCATACTTTCAGAAAGGCACTTTTTGCAATTGCTCATGCTCTCCATCTACTTCCATTTCATTAGTTCCAGCTGGAAAAAGAATGGTAGATCTTTAATTCCTCTGATAGCCACCAGCACAGATAAGAGCTCAGTTGTAGCCCTGCTAAGTGACAAATTAGCTCTTTGGATTATGTAAAGAAAAATGGGAAACAGGGAAGCATTCTCTTACCTTCAGAACACAGCTTGCCAACATATCCAGTGGCTGAGCAGTCACAGTGTGGCTCGCCATCAAGAAGGAAGCAAGTGCCACCATTTTCACAGGGGTTTTCTGCGCAGAGCCCTTCCATTTCCAGTCGGACCCCTTGACTGCCCAGGAGCTGTGGCTCAGAGTTGCCGTATTTCAGATCCAGGATAAATCCTTGAAACGGAGGCTCACTCAGAACACCATCAAGGGTCAAGGCAGCAGGACGGATGTCCAGTGGGACTCCACCAACAAAAAGGTCACTGACGATATTCATATACTGGCGTTGTGGACGCACCTCACCCGGCTTGGCTTCACCATCCAGCACTAGCACTGTCCGAAGGTGATTGCGGCTGACCATCAGGAAGTGCCAGTTGCTGTCGTTGACCTGCTTGTCTGTGATAACTGTAGTCTCCGCACAGTCCACACTGAACTGGAGCTGGATGCGCCCATCAACAAGGGACAGACAGAGGAAGTCACAGACACCACCATCATCAAAGTAGAGGAGCAGCCCAGCAGAGACGTTGGTCTTGAACTGGAAGCTGAGTTCGCTCCTAGTGCTGGCATCCCAGCGGAGGTAGCGGGCCCACTGGTTGGGGATGCCCATGAACTCCAGACCCAAACAGAGACCCAGCAGGGAGCCCAGCAGAAAACTCACCTTCAAGGTGAAGTAAATGGAGTGCAGAGTGAAGCCCATTGTTTCAAGAATCTTCTCTTCCCTAGGAGAAAAACAAAAGCCACACTACCGGGATGAGAACCCCAGCAGTCAACACCAAATGTTAAATCCAACAGGAAGAGGAGAAGAGCACACAGAGTGACAGAGAGAGGGAGAGTAAGTGAAAAGTGAGATAGCAAGAGCACGTGACCAAGAGGAAATGTCTCCTCCCCAAGGAAAGATCTCAATTATCCTTTAGGATCCAGAAGCTTTTATGTCAGAAGTACACGGTATATGAAGCAACTTCTCCAGCCGGTGTACTTTTGTGAAGGGCAAAATAACCCACAGTGGTTTGTTTTGGTAGAACACAAAGGTGACACTGGTTGTTCCAAGGAGAAAGGAAAGGTGGAGCTGAAGCCCAAGCCTCAAATTCTGGTTTCCTAGAAGTGATGACAATATTGACAGAAGCGGCAGTGAGATGGAGGAGAGAGTGAATTCATAAAGCACGTGATCCTCAAGAGGGCAAAAATGAAGTCAATCTTCATGATGCACTGGTGGCTACCCAGCCCATAATTCACTGATTGGCACTCACGGAGCTTGCAGGACCTGTGGAGTCAAGAGAAGAAAAGAAAAGAAAAATTTAGTCCTACTGTTCACTATATCTTTACCATAAAGCTTATTAACAGTTTGTCCAGTAACTCATTTACATTCCTTGATACTCTGGCTACTTCTTCATACCTGCAGTTGGCTACACAGTCCTCCAAATCAGCAAGGACATCTACGTCCTCAAAAGAAAGAGGACCAAATAGAGAACTCGCCACACGATCTGCACATATCGCAGTGCTGAGCAATGTAAAAATACACCAAATTATTTGACTCCTTTGATGGATGCAATCTCACTGGCTTTACTGAGAGAAATGGTGCTGAAGCATCCACGGTAACAATTACCTCTTAGTGAAAATCCTTAGGGCAAAGACCAGGATTCTTTAGAGTATAAGAGTTGATACAGGGCAAGAGAAGACGTTACCCAAACTTTCCATTGCACTGCTTTCATTATGCTTCCTAGCATACCAAGCAAGCATTAGAGAAGACAATCCTGCTGTCAGCCTGTCATGCAGTAACTGCTTTTACTTTACATGTCTTGCACACTTCAGAGGCTCTTAACAGGGACCTTTGCAACCTGGAAGCATGTGCTATGCAAATTATATATGTCAACCTGCAGCTTAGATGATAGGAAGCTTGTAGCTTAGATGATAAGAACTGTCTAAGCACTTAACCACTTACCCTGGTCTAGTGGCTTGGCAAAAAGGCCAAGTTCACCCCTAGCAAACAGCGAGCAATTCCTGCCTTCAGTGAGCAGGAGTTACACCTGTTAACACTGGGATTTAATTCACCTCTGCCTATTTGCACGTGGGTGACTCTGTGCCTGGGGTAGGAGGATGTTTTAAGATGACAAGTAATGACAGCGCAAAGCTAGGCTCATTCTTTGAAAACTCTGCTCAAAAAAAATCAAGTCAGTTTTCCATTAATACAGGTGCTTGTTCACAGAGATGGGTTGGGCACAGGAACAGCTCTGGGCATGGCTAACGTTAGCACAGATACAAAGCAGGAAAGGAGATGATGAGAATCAAGGCCTTCAGCCTCCCTGAAGCCAGCACAAACAGAGATTTCAGAAATTGGATCGCAAATATTGCAACACAGTATTTGCTTGGGCAAAGCATTTTGTGCTGTGGACAATGAGAGTTGCTGGGGCTGCTGTTGGCCGCAGCAAATGCCTTTCAACCCTGCAGCCCACATTGCTCCCAAGGAGGATGCCCACAGACGCTGCAGAAATGGGCAGTACAGAAAAGTTTCTGTTTGGTAAGGGCAGAGGTTGAGCTGGAGAATAATCACTAGGAGGCAACGGAGGAGCTCACATAGTCACAAGCCTCTGCCCTTCCCATCTCAGGGACCTACAGAAGTCATAAGTCTCCAGGGCTGTCAGTCTGGCAAATTTAGCCAGCACGAAAAACAAGTCACTTAGATAACAAAAGGGATCAATTAAAAAAAAAAAACCCACAAGCTGGAGAGAAAGGTGAGCTTTCAGTGCCCAGTGGAAACCAGGCCTGTTCCCTGCAGCTGCCTGAGTGGAGCTTGTTAGCTAAACTGCTCTAAACACAAATAAAATCAAGTCAAAACCAGAGGGAAGATAATTCCTTTTAATTGTTAACAGCTTGGCTCAGGAGAATGGAAGGAGGAAAAAGGAGGTGTTAGGAGAGGTGTAAAATGAAAAAAACCCACTGATCCAAATGCTTAAATCGTCTGTCTTCCCAATAATCACAATGTTGGCTCAGTTCATGGGGTTTCGGAGGGGAAGGGGGGTTGAAAATCAACTGGAAAAAAGAAATTATGTGGCTTTTGTCCATTTACCTTTCTCCTCTGTGGTCCCTAGTGGCTCCACTAAAATAGCCCATGATTTATGGAGAAGGAAAATAGAGTGAGAGGGAGGTAAGAGAGAAAGTGATGACCCAAGCCTGGAATTATTGATGAGATGGGAATAGGAATATAATAATGTGTGTAAATTAGCCAGCGATGTGCTCCCAGCAGCTCACGGTTCCCTGGAACACTTAGCACCACCGTAGCAAAATTCACCTCTCCATCAGACAGCTGGGGAGGGAAGCAAGCCCAGTGTGGCACCAACCACCCCAATGCAGAGAGGCTTTCGATTCTCCTGGACAGGGTGGGTTACACCATCTGCATGAGAAGTAGCCCTCAGCCATATTACTCTTCTCTCCCTGTTTCAGAAGACTAACTCTTTGAGAACCAGTAAGAGATGCTGTAAATCACAGCAGCAGGCGTGAACCTGATAACCTGTGTGACAACCACAAATGAGATGTGTATGTCCACGTACAGCCCAAACGCCTGTCCGAAAAGCCTACTGATCTCTCCCAACCCCAGGCTGCTGAAACTCTGTTTTACACACACAAAGAAATCTCAGTCTCCGTGGGTTGCTTCAATCCTCGGATGTTTCAAAGGCACAGTAAAAAGAGCAGGCTACCTCTGTGGTACAGATTTCTGTAACATCGATAGATGTTCATTAGGAGAGGACAAAGGCCACAGTTAAGCAGGGAAACCAGGCAGAAACGGTTAAAGAACAGCATTGTTGACTGAGGGAAGCCAAGGCATTCCCTCTCTATCTGAGAGAAGCCAAGGTAATCCCTTTCTAGCTGATTTGAAAGAAGACGGTGCCAGTTCTATTTCAGAAAAGGAAGAAGACACAAAACCCACGAAATATAGGTGTCACTTCTGGTTTCTTCATTGCCTTTAGCTCAGGTTTTGGGAAGGCTGCCTGCACCCAGCCTCTAGCAGGCTGGGGCCATCTAAGGGTCCTCCAGAACTCTGTCAGTGTCCATCAGTCCTGATCCATGGTGCTTCCCGCTATTCCAGTTCTGTGTCTGACACAGTTCAGCCTGTGAGAGCAAACCTCACCGCACACTAGCAGGGTCTTCAAGAAAAACCCAGAAGACCCAGTGTCCTTTTTAGCAGTGGCCAGGATCTGAATCCCAAGATTGAGAGAGTAAATCCTGACACAACAAATCTGCACCTCACCCATTTCCCACAATGATCCTCCAAGACACACTGAGAACGAATAATTTTCTGCTGTTAGCATTTTATTTTTAGCATAAGTACTACCTTAGCAGCCTCATACAGCACACTGCTACCATAGCAATACATTACAGTTTGGGACAATAACTACAGATTCCCATGGTATTTTGTTATGTATTTTATCTCTGAGAAACCTCAAACTTTGTCACAGCATGGTCACATCTCACAAAAAAGAAAAGACTTCATGATGGACAGTATCTCTCCCAGTCATGAATTAGCAACACCCCTGTTCCAATTCCACCTATTGCTCACACGGAAAAGCAGCATAAAAAATATTTTTCATGTTATTTTTTTGGCTTAATACGATTTAGCAACACGAAACAAGACGGCCAGTCTCATACAATCAGCCCTTCAACAAACCACTACATGAGGTCTTTGCAGAGTACTTTAAATACTTGCTACCCTGAAGGAACAAGGGAGCCAGCAAGTTATCTCCACTGCGTCTCCAGCAGCCTGGACCACCTCCTTGGCCCACCAGAGAGCCGGGACAGCAAGGAATCTGCACACTGAACAGACAGCTCAGCATCTCGCACACTCAAAACCTGCTGTAGGAAACACACCCACTTGCACTATTGAAAAGTCCCACTCCCAGGGCTGATAGAGCTGCACAACTTTCCAAACTGGGAAGGAAGGCAGGCCCACCCCAGTGCCGTGGGCAAGTGCTTCCCAACCACTACCCACCCTCCCAAACTTGAGAGCAGCCTATGAATGCCAGGTCAGAGCCATCTGCTCAGCAACCCATGGAGAGGGTCTCACCCTTGCTTTGGAGTGGCTCTCGACTGCTTATCAGCTGTATGCAGAGAATGAGTGACATTATCTAATTGCCAACTAATTTCCATAATTACTGACTGGCACACTCTGTATGCGGGGTTAATATCTTTGCAAAAGTCTCGCAATGCACCTGCTTAGGAAAGAGGGTGAGAAGCTGGGCACAGTGCTGCTCCCCAGCTTATTTACCCAACTGCAAAGGAAGGTTGTGGGGTTCAGGCTGTCACTCTCAACCCTCCCTCCTCCACTACCTCCCTCTCTGGCAGCTAATTGCTCGGGGATGGACTTTTTTGAATTTGAAAGTGTAATTTTCAGCAATTCCTAGTGCAGAAAGAATAACACAGTTAGATGAAGCCAAGGAGAAGATGGCTAACCTCACAAACCCCCGCCACTGAAGGATGCTGCACAAAATCCCACTGATACACTGACGGGAGGGGTTTACCGTTCCCCCCTGTCTGCCACCTCCTTCCACAACCAAACCTATTCATTATGTCATACTTGGTGTGGAGGGAAAAACATACATTGGTCCCCTAGGATCCATGCATTTATACCTCATGTGAACTCACGCTTGTCCTGGCCTTCACTGCTAAAAAAAAAAAAAAAAAAAAAAAAAAAAAAAAAAAAAACAAAAAACAAATTGTTTTC